GAGAGAGAGAGAGAGACGAGGTGGACGAGAGCAGAAATCGAGGAAGCTCGGACGGACGACGTTGATCTGAGCAGTGAGCATTCGAAACGAACGTTCGCAACGACGGACGTGCCTGAACGCGCAATTGGACGCACGACGCAATCGTCTTTCACTCGCGTAAATACCGGTGGCTTAACCTAAAAACGGAACGCTGTTATCATTGTCCCGTCCGGCCGCCCGTTTCTTCATCCTTCCAGACCGGCGATGGGAGCGGTGACGAAATAGTCGAGATATTTTACCTTTTCTACCGTGGCATCCTCCATTATTTACTTTTCGTAAGAAAAAAAAGCTTTTTAAACCCAAGCACTGTGTCCCTTTGTTGAAACGTGCAACTTCAAACAGGAAGTCGCGCTACAGTCGTGTTCTCCCGCTACCGCGTTGTCAAGCGAGAATTCCAATTACATTTCTTATCATCTTTAGCTGTCACTTCCTGCCCTATTTTCGTGCATATAAAATCAGATCGAGAATATATTTTTCGTTTCAGAAATGAGTCGAAACAGATAAGGAGGTTGAGGATAAATGAAACGGGCATATCGATATATGCGCATGAGCGATCGATTTTTTTCAAACGCATAAATCGCGCGAAAACATCTCTCTTTATCGATTGTGGGAGAATGATTCAGCGATCACCGACGAGTCTCTGACACAATGGTGATAATAAATGTTTCGTGCGGAAACATCTTGTCAAATTTTAATTTTTGATGTTGTAGATTGTATGTACAATGAGATGCAACGGAAATTGATTGCGAAAAATTGGACGCAAATTGATGAGAGGTTATTGAATAGTCACGCAAATGAAATACACTTAACAGTAGTAGCTTAACGTTAAAACATTCGCGAGATTGCGAATGTCCAAAGTCTTGCCATCTGATAATATAGTTATTCGAAATTACAAAAATATAAGATTTAAATCTGATTTTATGACATCTCGATATATCTATAATACGATATATATCTGTAATACTGCATTAATTTTAATTATTGATATCTATATTATTTTACGACGACTTACATATTCGGTTACTTATTGAGGGCGAATAAGTATAAATGAGCAATTCTTTTACTCTTGTTTTGTATTTGTTGTTTTTCGGTATTATAATATTTCTCTCTTTTATTTACGAAAAATAATTTCAAAGACGCGGGATTAAGAGGATTTGTGTTGATTAGATCTCAAGCAAATCGATTATTTCATATCTTTTAAATAATTCCTACAATTAATAAAAGCAGTCCTATACGAACATACCGATAAATGAGCACTTTTTGTTCTCCCGACACTTGTGTGCCAACCACGTTAATTACGAGAAAAATACAATTAATCGACAATATTTAATGAGTAACTAATCATTAATGATTACAATAATTGCGATAGATTTTTTTGTATAAATACATATTAAATAGGGCTAGGTGAGTTTCTTGGCTTTCTGGTAAAGTGTATCGACGACTTTTCCCATGCTGTGTATTGTGTCTAATGCGATTTCGTAGGTCTTATCGCGTGGGGTATCTTCGAAAACGATTAAAACGCCTTCTCCTTGGTCGAGAACTCCTCGCAACTTTTTGTCCAAAATCATCTGCGATAATTTCTTTTCTACTTGCGCCAATGGCAGAGATATGCACGAAGCAATATGACTCACCTTAAAAAAATAATAAAAAAAAAAAAAATTATAAGAGAACAAGAATTATTTTGTGTTAAGTGTTATTACAAATTTCTAAAATTTTTTTCGAATCCTTTAGTTAAGCATAGATAACTGATTTCTTCTCAGAAAATTCAATCACTTGTTATTATTGCTTGCTACATGATATATTAAGTAATTTGGCAAATATTATGTAACAATTATTATTAGGATTAGATTCTTTTGTAAACAGAGCCAATTTCGAAATTAAAAAGCAAGGTTTTATAACACCGTAAACACCGTATTTAATTCTCAATACCAATAAATCTTTATTTATGTTTATATGTAATAAAATCAAATCTGCCTTTTTCCTATATTTTTAATGAGAACTCAACGAAATAATTTATAGTTCATTTATAGTTCATTTATAGTTCATTTATAGAAGGCCTATATTCTGAATCCTCTCTTATCGATAAAAGTGCTTTATAAGCTTTTTGTTTGAACCGAAGCTACTTTTAGAGAGGATTTTTACAATAGAAAAGAATTCAGAATATGGACCAAAGTAATGCAAGAATTTCGATATAAATACCTGGACTCGCGAGTAAGGTTCGACCAAACGACATAAATTTTGCTCCAGCATAGCGTCATAAAGGGAACCAAGATGTGCGCGTACAATTACATCGTCTTCCAATTCCTGTCGATATTGCTTAACAGCCTTTTGAAAGTCCGCTAGCGATCGTCGGTGACTAGCTTCGGCTACCGCACGCATCGCGTCTAGATCGAGTCCCGCATATTTCACTGCCAGTTTGCCAGACATGATAGCTTGAACGTCTTCTGGTGTGCGCAACATGATTTTTGACAGTAGCATATATTTGAGCGCTGTCAATGCCTTGGGACTTTCAACACTGTCATACCTAAAAATAAAATAGATGACACACACATTTCTCGTAAAATGCAAAAGCAGACTATACTACAGCTTAAGATATTACAATTACAAGATACTAACCCTTCGAAAGCTTCGTAAAAGTAGGAGTAAGCAGTCTTGAAGTCTCGTTCATCCGCGGCATGTAATATCCCCGATTGTAGATCCAGAGCAGCTTGCATTTTAGGTGGACAGTAAATTGCATTGGCAGTTGTTCTAGCGCTGGTAAGCGCTGCTCTTGCTTTCGCTAAATTACTCAATGCGTGATATGTCTTGCTCTCTAATAATTGAACCTCTACTAGTAGTTGTTTGTCATCCAATTTTTTGAGTTCTTTGAGGAGAGCCGATCCCAATTGCAATGCCTCGCTGAACATACCCGTGTCGAAATACAGAGCTATTAGGCGGGCTTCTAACGATTGCCTTAAAAACGTTCTGCGTTCTTCCTTGGCCCATTCTATGCATTCTTTACACAATTGTACCTAAATATGTAACACATATAAATACATTCCATATATTTTCATTTTTTTCATACGGATGTTAAGACTTTTCATAAATGGAATGATTTGAATCAAAGAGAGGAAAATTAAGAATGCATATTATATATCAAAATTTTATATCATTTAAATTTAGATGTTAAATGACGAGTTCCGCAGCGTGTTATTATTAAAGATAATAGATATATATTTAAACAAAGCAGAGAGGATCTTTTGACAAGCATGGCCTAGTTGACATTTTTCATTGGTTGGAACAGAGAACTGTCGTAGCCTAACCTAATTCAATTTGTATCTTGTCCAATTCTCTAAGTCAAGTATATACAAAGACAAATGCCAATTACCTCGATGCCAATACCAGCCTCCAGATCCAGGAAGAAGTCAACCAAGGATCGCACAAGCTTGGCGGCTTTTGCTTTACTAATGAGACTGAGAAACGGTCTGGTTGCTTTGATCAACTCGGCCAGCTCCTTCGCCTTGCCCTCTTTCTTGTAGAGCTCGCCTAGGTGGAGAATACCCTGCTCCTTCACACGGATGTTATCCTCGTTGTCATCGGCGACGCCGATACTCGGATCCGAGACAATCTCGTTCAGCAACGAGATACCCTCGCTGCGATTCGTCATCGAAACGGCCTGGGCCCGCTCAAACAACATCGCACCGGCCATCTCGAGCGATCAACGTCACTTCTTCGCGCGTAGAAACGTTTATCTCCTCGAAAGGTGTATGTTACCGCACACTCTTGACTCGCTGGTGCGGCTGCAAAGGAAAAGGAATATGTCGCAGAAGTCGAGCGCACGACGAAACGTACCAGTCACCGAGAGGATCCGCGATCTGTCGTGTGTGTGTGTGTGTGTGTGTATACTGATTTACGTTACGCTGCGCGCGACCATGCGATCATACGCTCCAACAATCTCACGCACTCTCTTTCTCGTGATACACGCGAGTACGTGTACACTCACTCGCGCTTTTCACAGCTTGTCTCCTCACCGCGCTCACCGAGACCGCAAAACTCGTGTCATGCTGCTACGTGAGTCAAACCAGCTACCGCCGATGTTGACTGTCTCTCTCTCCGTACTGTCCGCATTGCGTCCCACAGACATGGCGACCAAGCCAAATCGCGTGTATATACGCTCGTGGACAAAACTTGCACGTGTTCTTTTTTCGATGAACTTCGGAACGCACGCGCGACATTCGATAAGAGAAAGGAATCTTAGAGAAAAAAAAAAAAGTTCTATTTATTGGGCGATCAATTGTATTTCAAGAAAATGAGACAAATTTTTTGACAAATCTAATTGACCCATTGACTCATGTTCGACATAATAGCAAGTTAAAATCCATAAATAAATTTACGTACAAAACTCGCATTTAATTAACACAATTTAAAATCTTGCTTTGATAAAATCTTTATTCTCTTTTGTTGAGAAGAAAATAATTTCGACGCAATTCTATGAAAACATATAACTTACTTAAACTTTTTTTAAGAAATTTGAAAAATATAGTGTATCTCACGTAATACTTGTGCAACACAGTACAAACTTGTTAATCAATTTAGTTTAGTTAATACTGTATAAGATAGTATTTTCTCTATATTCATAGCACATTATTCAAGTGTGTTATCACATGCCAACGAAAAAGAAGAATTTTTTAAGATCAATACTTGTAAATTGCACAATGCTTCTTTCAATCTGAAAAAATACAAATGAATACATCAGAATATAATGGTACACATTAAAAAAATCTTAGAAAAGATACACAACATACTTCTTTTGAAGATTTTCTATTTCATTGTATGTTTCAGTAAAATTCTTCAGTTCAGTATTAACGGAACAATATGTTTCACCTTTCGTTCCAATTAGATTTGCAATACTCTTTAAAGCATTTGAACATTTTATTAATACTTCTTGAGTCTCTTTCCACTCGGCCTGTGTTTCAGGAAGTATTATACCATTACATTGCAATATATCTAAAGGTTCTAAGAGAAATCGCAACTTGAACAACATATCTTGTACAGCTTTAAATGTTTCATCATCTATAAGAATGTAAATATATCAAAACAAAATAAAAATTAATATAATTTTAATGAATTTTGCCTTTACCAGTGCACTTTGTTATCGCAATTAGTTGGGCATCTGTCTCTTTTTGTGCTAAACTTAAATTCATTATATCACGTTCCCTTGTCTTAATTTTAATTAATTTTCTAGTATCTTGATCAATCTCTTGTGCCACAGTAGCTAATTGTCTTATCATTAGACATTTTTTCTCCTCAGTCTTTTTCTTCATTATGAGATCCATCATTACAGTTTGTAAATATTCATCATAAAGGAGTCCAAGTTCTAATTCTTTGCACTCAGTATCTATTTTCTTTTGTGAATCTAACTGCAATGGCATAATCGACTGCCTGCTCACAGGAATCTTCTTTCTTGGCACTTCTATGATTAATATAGCATAATACAGCATTAAAATATAAAGCAGTCGGTGAAATTATAGAACAGATTGTCATAAAGCTCTTACTTTGTATTTGTGAAACATCACCTGGCATGTTGCTATTAATTGTTCTACGAGAAGTTCCACTTGTGACAAAACTAGATAACGTTATATCCAATGTCCCTGCATTGCGAACTCTACACCGACATGATAAAAACATAAGAGAGTTACAAGGAACAATCGCATCGTGGAATTTTTCATTTAATCAAAAAATAAATTTTACAACAATTTTACTTTCGAGTACTTCCTAATTTTGTGGTGTTTTTTGGTTCTTCCTGCATTGTTCGCTGTTACACTAAATTATTGTAATTTTATTTTAAACTTTGCGTATTTTTCGGTTCGTTTATTTTTCCTTTTATTTATTTCTCTTTTTCAATGTTGCACATACACACATCTACATATAGCGAGATGTACCTTAAATTTGACAGTTACAGAAGTCATATTTATAGTTACGAATGCATCATAGGCTAGGTAAAGCGCGCATTTTGTTATAATATACGTGACACGAACTATAGATAAATGCGCGTATATGCACTTACGGAATTCAGCCATATTTAAATATGCGTGCTCAAGATACAAATGCTGCGTCCCGATATTCACTGCCAGTACTGAAAATTTATAATATATGTGACCTGAACTATATATTTTGAGTACTGGCAGTAAATCTCGGAACGCAGCCAAAGTTGTATGTACTTGATGTAGTCTTAAAAATAAATTTGAAATATATAAAAAATTAATCTAATAAAAAATATATATAATAAATATAAACATATTAAACAATATTAAATTAGTTAATAAAAATGTAGCTTTAGATTATTTTAAATTTATAAAAATTAATCATAAAGCATGAATATGTAGATATGATTTAATATTTATACCCCTCCCCCCCCCCACACACACCACACACACACCACACACACACCACGCGCGCGCACACGCGCACACATTATTATATTGAAGTCAAACTGGAAATTATTTTAATTCCAAAATAGTAAGGGTTAGTTTATGGAGACCGTAATCTGTTAACTTATGCCGTAAAAAATTATCAATAAATTAATCAATCACAATCGAATTATAAAAAAATAATCGATTATGATTCGTCAATTTTTTACGATTATGGCATAAGTTAATAGATTACGACCTTCATTGGAATTGATCAATCAATCATCGCAAATTACGATTGATCAATTCCAATGAAATATTCGGCCAATTAAATTAGTCGCAGTTAGTAAAAAGACGAGTGAAGGCCTGATTGCCCACGCTGGCTGATTGGCTAATTTAAAATAAAATTTTTTTGATTGGTTGATCCAGTGGAAAATTTCCAGACATTGGTCGTGTAAGTGGTTATGTCCAATTGCAATGTAGTCAAACGGGAAAATTTCCAGACATTGGTCGTGTAAGTGGCTATGTCCAATTGCAATGTAGTCAAACGCTCCCAAAGTGATCCTAAAGGCCATACAATTTTCTATACTGAAAGATTAAATTTATTATTTTTTTAATTTCAATATATCAATATATTTAAATTGCACGATTTTATTACTTTACGTTCAATATTTATAAAAATTAAAAATTATATACAAGTTAAAAAAAAATAAACAGGTCCCACCGAGATTTGAACTCGGATCGCTGGATTCAGAGTCCAGAGTGCTAACCATTACACCATGGGACCTTGACTTCAAAGGATTTTTATACTTGATATTACCTTTAATTTACCAATATGTATTCATAAAAATATAACTCGTTTCTTATAAATTTTTTTATTAAATGTTTTTATAAGAAAATCTTTTTATTCAAACTAACCATATTACTTCAAATTATCAAAAGAGTTTTCACAAGAAATGATCTCATAAAATTATTAAAATTACATTATTACATCAATATATTTTGATAGAAGGGCATTAATAAAAATATAAATTAATTCACATCTCTCATGTATATATATTTATTTATAGTTTATGTATTTTTATAAAATATAAAAATCATTATATATAATATATATATATATATATATATATATATATATATATAAT